TGATTTGTGCATCTAGACGAGCGAGGGACTTGAAGAAATAAGCGGAAACTTGTGATTTTCGAACGTGTGTCCTGGGGTTTTATAAAAAATAAATCAGGATCACGTGACGTACGATCCTTCAATCGGTCAATGGGTCGTCATCGGTCAGATCGGTCAGATCAATTTTGGTGACGAATGGCGGAGTTGCTATGTACTGAGTGTAGCCACGTCATGTGACGTCTGTAGTTACCAATGGAGTAAGGCTACCCTCTGAGTGCTCCCCCAGAAACGGGACCGCGTTTTAGAATTCCTCCGCGTCTAGACACTGGGTCCCTGGGAACGCCGTTATCTGCCGTCTTACGCTGCCATTGATCGATCAGCTTGCCAACTCCCTGATAAGGCTTATCGGGGGACTGTGAACGCGTATCCTCTACAGGCGATGGTGCGCGACGCGTTGGAGAAGGATTGGGAGGCTGTAGTGTTTGAGTTGTATCCAGTGTAGGCTTTGAAGGCAAAGCTCGCGTTGATGATGTTGAAGTCTCCTGAGTCTTTATCTCTTCTGAACGTCTGTTTACTCCAGCGGACGAGGGGTTCACTGTTTTGAATGCCGCTAGTGTCGGCACAACAGGGATTAGGCCCGATGCTGGCCCTTTGTCTTTGCTACCAATAGCTTCATACCGCTGAACCATGTCTGTGATGGATGTGCGCCGTGAAGTGCGTCCTTGCGACTTATCATGTGGTACTGCCAGCCCAGTGGGTATCGAAGGTATATCCACAATCCCCTCAGAATTTGACCCCGACATAGGGAAAACGAACATGGATTGAGGACGGAACCGACCAGGTGCAGTAGATACGGTGGCTGCAGTGCTCGACGTTGACTTGAAAGTAGACATTTGCTTGGTATGCTGAGAAGTGCTTAACCGTTTGGGACTTGCAGGAGATGGATTGGAATTAGTAGTAGCATGCGTTGGAATGTCCAAAGTCCGTGATAACATAGGCTGAGGCGAAGTAGACCTGGGCTTCGAGAAAGTTGTACCAGCAAGTGAGCGGCTCTGCTGCAACTTCGTACCCAACACCGGCTCAGTGAATGCAGTATTGGCGGGGCTTTGGGTACATGACTTGTCCCTTTCTTTGGTATGCACAACTCCACCTCCCCATAAATCAACTAGATCATGCACAGAGCTTTGACGCCCCTTTGTTTTCCTTCTTCTCGTCGGGTCAGTTTTTTCTGCGAGCTTTGGAGGGGCGAATCCGATAGCATCATCAGGGCCATCTTCTCCTGAACTGGAGGATCCCCATTTATCAGGCTGCGGCGAACGAGAAACAGTGGGACTCATATTGTCTACCGGAACATCGGGATATTTGTAGGGGATACGCATGGCAGAACCAAACAGTTCATTGTCCTTCTTTGGCGATGTGGAAGTACTGACTTCAGGAAGCTTTCGCTCTCCCGACCCGGAAGACTTGGAGTGTTTTTTCCTGGGCGATGAAGGTACATTTGGTGTCTTCTGTGGAGGAGAAGATTGTGAGGTTACAGCTTCTTGCGGGGATGGAATCTGGACATTGTTGATCTCGATAAAAGACGAACGTTTGCTAGTGAACTCGCGTAGAAAGGGAGTTTCACGAGAGCCAGTAGCCATTGAAGCAAACATACTCTCATTGACAGTTGAGATGAGCGTCTCATCAGCTCCAGTCAGCCAGTCTTTCGGTTCAGGACGAATAGATGCCAGACTAGCCAGAGAAGCAGCATCACTTAGCGAACCAGATGTATCTTTACCCGCTTGACGTTGGGGGGGAGGCCTTATAGCAACGTTACTCCTATGTTTCCTTGACAGTGATGGCCTCGTTACAGGCCTCGACGACCGATTTTGCGTCGTGCTGTCATCATCTCCAAAATCAATCAAGCGCTTTTGTGGCTCTTCAGCTTCACGCATGACAGTGCCTGCAACCCGTTCCGACAGTACGCCATTACGTCCACGTGACAAACCCGCAGGGACACGCAAAGCATTTGGGCGTATAGAGAGAGGGGGAGCTGGAGAGGGTGATTGAGATGATCCACCCGAAGGACGACCCTGCGACTCAGGCTGGGTAGTCGAATGTACGAGCGATGTGATGTTGTATGTCGCCGTTGACGAACCAAACGTAGCATTCAGTTCCTCAAGAGATGGAAATCGTGCTTCAGGCGGGAGATCTGTAAGCGGCTGTAGTTTAGGCGAATTGCTAGACGAAGTTGCCGAGACGACAGGATTGTATGGACTGGACCGCGAGGATAAGTCAACAGGGGCCTGCTTTTCCATAAGGAGTGGAGACGGAGTTGGTCTGGGTACTGGCGAAGGAGATGGCTTGTAGGATGGGTTGAGCGTGAGAGGGGCCCTATGTTGCCGATTGACAACGGCAAGGCCCGTTCTGAGCTTTCGAGCTTCTCCAAGCGTGGGTGCAGGAGTAGTATGAGTATTAGAAAGGCCTAATCCTTCAAATGCATCTTTGCCTTTGGTGATAGCGATCTTCGTATTTCGCGACCCTTGCCCAGGCGTAAGCCATGATGGCAGTTTCTCAGACCCTCCAGCATTGGCAGTGGATCCGATATTGAGACCATTAAACGTGCCCGACATTTTCTCTGCAAAACTGTCACCAAATCCAGCCTGAGTTGTTTGGTTGTCACCGTCTGTCGTTTCCGATGCGCGAGCCTCGATGTTCCATGCATCCTTAAACGCAGATGGTACGCTACTCGTCATATTAGGTTGCCGCTGTGGTGCCATACCAAAGTTATAAAGGCGAACCGGATGACCAGATGTCAGACTCTTCTGCATAGACTTAAGCGGTTTGTCTTCCTTGAAACTCGATTCATCGTCCAACCATTTCTTAATCATACCCTTGTCTTGCGTTTGTAATGTCCCTTTCTGCAGACTGGGGGTATGAGACACTAGCGTGGAGTGATTCTGCTGTGATACAGTGGGCCGGCCACGGCGCATAGGTGAGATAGCCTCGAGAACTTTTTCACGTGCTTGTATTGCAGAGCTCGAACTCTTCGTCATGACCGGGCCATATTCCTGGACATTAGCAGAGGATAATGGGTGATATATTATTGTATTTTCGAGCACCGGGGTAGGTGGAACGGGCGAAGGTTGACCGGCACGAGTTTTTATACATTGAGGTGGCGGTAGATTATACGTGAAACGCGATTTGGAGCCACGCAGGAGGTGGACATGTACCAAAATCTCAAATACACTCGGCCGTTGTGTCCCATGCTCGCGCAACATCGATCCTATATTATGAGGGGAAGAAAAATAATGACTTCAAGCCACCAAAAGAGGAAGAAAGAACGCACCGATCAGAGTATTCATTTGATTTGAGTAGACTGGATATGGTGGTATGCGGTATTGCACGTTGAGTATAGCCAGCTGACCATGTTCTTCAAAAGGTGTCGTGTAATAGCACAGTTTATAAAGCAATACGCCGAGTGCCCATACATCTGATTTCTCATCAATCAGACGGCGAAGAAAAAGATCGATCATTTCAGGGGCTCTATATTGTTGAGTCGTGTATCGATTTATGTCTGCTTCAAGCGTTCTTATTTCCTGTTGGTTTGATGGTGGTTTTGCTGCTACAGGCGTGGCAGAGCCAAAATCGCAAATCTTAAATGATGTAGGAGAAGACTGTAGGATATTTTCAACCTTAAGGTCACGGTGGAGTAGTGCAGGACGAAGATTGTGCATTGCAGCAACACCTTCACACACGTCGACGAAGATCTGTAAAATCTCTGCTTCAGTGAGACGCTCACGAAGACGTCTGTTCATCATATCAATGATGCCTCCCCCTATGGCCGAGATAAATACGGTGCGATATATTGGATAATGCAAACAACCGTACCCGAGCAATATTCCATGAGGATGAAGACTTCATACATGCCATTGGCCATTCTATGCCATGCAGCATCAATGAGATGAACGATATTCGGGTGACCTTTCAATATTCTCTGTAGGATACGTATCAGTAGTTGGACGGACATGAGAGAAGACACATGCTTACCATGATATCGACTTCTTTCCGGACTTCAGAGAGCATAGCTTCATTGGCAACAGCGATCCTCTTCAAGACATGGTGAGTTGTGTTGTAGATTGGTGTTGATGTCCTGACGAGATAGACATGAGCGAATCCGCCTTTGAAGTGCGTAAATCATAAGTGGAATAACGATTATAATAAAGCAAGGCGAACCTTGACTGAGATAGCGCTCGACCTGAACCGTGTACTTGTTGACAGAGATGGTCTGCCCCGGTGCAAGGGTCCCTTTGTCTGTGTTGGTGTTGGCATAGGCTACATAAGCCTGTTGCTGGGCCATTGTTTATGTGACGACTAAAACAAAGATGTAACGCTGACAGGTCGTGCTACAGCGCCGTGGATGGTTGGTCACCACGCAAGCAAGAAATTTCCAATGTCAGGCCAGTCAGTTACGTGTGTAATTCCTAATATGGAAATGTCTACTCACAGGTCTACCTCAATTCCAGAAGCAGCCTAAACCAATTGGTCCCACACCAAGCATAACAGACTGTTGTCACACCCAAAATTGATGAAAAAGCCTGAAAGTAGTTAATATTTGATTGTATTTTTGGACCTACAAGATCAGGCTTTTTCATCAATTTTGGGGCATGACAAAAGTTAGTTATGCTTGGTGTGTCCTCAAACCTCGCCTAGCGCTTTCCTTAAGGTTCACTTAGGGTGCTCCTGAAGTGAGCGTTAGAGCTTATTCAGACACCCAGAACTGAAGCCATAAGCAAAGCTTAGGGTTGGTGCCAAATGAAACCAAATATGCGGACTTCAAAAAATCTACCTGCCGAGCGGCCAAATGTCACCAGTATGCCGAGTTTGTGATGACTGTGTGATTCCTGAAAGGGGTGCCACAGGGCATAGGGAGGGGTATACTGTACAGTAAGGAAGCTGATTTGCATTATGTATTATTAACTCTGAAAAACGTCTCGACGAACCTCAAGAAACACAGGAAGAAAAGTTGTTTTCACACCAAAATGCCATCATTTCCCACTACTGCAGGGGTTGAGAAAACCAGCAAGGAGCGCGTCATATGGACACCCAAGGATATCAGAACATTGATCAATTTTGTGAAGAGGAACAAAGTGCTGGCTGAGCTAGGACTCAACTTCAAGCCTGGCTTCTGGAATGGGGCTGTCCCCCTGTTGGCCAAAACGAGACAGCAGATGTCATCCTGCACAAGTGGAAAAATGTGAGCCAAAGTTTTGGTGCCATTGGGAGAAAGGCCATGCTCACCGTTTTACAGCTCAAAACTGAATGATAAAAATTTCTTGTACTGTACTTCAGAGTTCATGCCTTGCAGAATGAAAAGGCACGGATTTGTGTTTCAAAGTAAGATAGTGTGTTATAGCTCAAATACTTACCTACATTCAATAGTGAAAATTTTTAATAACCGCCAAAAGTGAGTAAACACTGAACATTATGTTCTTGTTGAAGATAGATGTACTAAATACAAAGTTGATGCAGGAAAAAAATGACCACCCAAACTCCATGCCCCACACTTGACGCATGCGGTGGTAAAACCTCCAAGAATGATCCTCACCCTGGTTTGCCTAACATGGTCAATCATTTGTCTTCACATTGTGTGGTTGCTTCATAGCAAGTAAAGTGGGGACCCTAGAATGCATGAAGAAGAACTTTTAGTAAAGAGCTGGAGAAGGCTAGAGGCAGGGGACGTGGATCAGTGGATGGTCTGTTCAAACAATGGGACAAACACGCACAGGATGGCAGGAAGATATTGGAAGAGCTGAAGAATATCATCATATTGGAACTACCATCTGGAGGAGGCAACAACACTATGAAGGACTGATTAACATTATAAATGTCACCAATTGATATATACAGTAGAATACTACTCTGTGACCAAAATGTAACTAACAAAAACATTCAAAATGTATTTATAAACTGTCAACAGTCAACTATCAATAATGTACTGTTAACATAGACTATCAACTATTGAATTGACAGTAGTATATAGACAAATTAAAGGCATGGTCTAGTCTTAACACCAGATGCTTTAGGAAGTAGAATTGAACTGCCAGATCACTCCTTTTTCCAGAACATTTGAATACTTTGAATATCAAGAAAATAAGAATGAAATCTTAGTGTCACACTTTTTACCCATATTAGGAAGAGCCTCTCTATTATTTTAGATAAATTATAAATATGCCATTTTTGGAATGTTTTCATTAAGTCAAAGAATAACACTATACTTGTTTGCTTGTCCTATCTATGCCACAACTTAGAGAGAGACCTGAGCTTTCACAAGCACCACAATCCCTCAAATCCAAGTTCCTAATATTGTGCGTTTCCCAGATTGATGTTTCTCATATTCTGCCATTCAGCATGCTCTTATTGTAGCTTGCTCCCATATAATACCCTAGACCTTCACTCCAATATGTTGCTTTGGACTTTAGTCTGCTATATGTTCCTTTAAATGTTTCTTTATTGTCCACATAGACTCTGATTTAGACCACATAATATGCTTTAAAATATATAATTATTTTATTCCTTGCTACATATTTGTCTACATAAAACTCCATCTTCTCTGATAGTATATAAAGTTGTAACACATGTACTCTATTGTTCAGTTAAAAAAACAGCTAGAATCAATAACAAGATATTATTTAATTTTATTACACACAGCATTCATATATGTAGAAGAACACTTCTGAAATATTTCCAATAACCTCATATAGTAATCCCACCGTGACTAGTATAGGATTACTGTGATTAAGATGATATACCTTACATAAAATGCTGTCTATGAGACCTATATCATTATATTGTTAATGATGTGCCTAATAAAATATATTTGATCTAGAAAACTGTTTTGTTCTGTTAGTTCTGGTATAAAAATAATTTAAAAGCTTACCAAGTGTGCTACCAGAGCCAAAACAAGGACATTGTTAGGACCATGACTTATAGAGTTGTTAGAGGTTGGAGGTAGGAGTTACAAAGTGACTACATAGTAGCAAAACAGATTACAAGGTTAGGAGTTTGCTTAGCTCATACACTAGACCATTCTGCAGACCTTTACCCCTAACTCAACAGCATGAATGGGAGGAAAATAGAGGATGCCATAGGAGAGGAGTAAGAGTCCTTTGGAAAAGGGCTGGGAAGAACTTAGAGGAAGGTTGGTAAAAAGGTTTGGGAACTTGTTGATATTTAAACCGCTGGAACAGAGTACAGAAATTATAACTAGGAGTTTTATGCAGACATATATTTAGCAAGGAGAAATTGTATGTGAGAGGAGTGTGTTATCAGGTTTAACTACAGATTCTGTGAGGAACATAAGAATGTGTAGAGGAAATATATGGCAGACTGGAGTCCAAAGTAGGATATCAGTGAGGGCATCCACAGAGTGATGCCAATAGGTAGTTAATATAAGCTCTCTACTATCCCATGTAGAACTTTTCTATATATGCACAGTATTAATATATATTATGGAGAATCACTTATATATTTCAGCAACTCTTGGACAAAACCAGATAAACCCAGTCTCAGCTAAAGCTGCTAAAAAATTATTATTCTCTATGGAGCATAATCACCACTCCATGGAGTCACTCATTGTTCTCCTAGGAGTCATTGTACCTTAGTGAGTAGTATCTCTGACTATAAGTAGTAGGGGGCTTAGTATAGGGATACCTCAGCTGTTTCTATAGCCTCTTGGGTAGCATCTGATATATGTTACATTACATTCTATAGAGGTTACCTTAAAGCTGACATCTATTGTAGTTCAGGCATTCTGCCCTTTTACTTAGTTTTATCACTTGTTCTTACTTATTCACCAGAACCTACATCAGGAAAAACCCTTTTGCTATATAGCATTATATATCCACCACCTATATATAAAAATGCATTCATAGAAACTATAGTACTATTAGTGCAATTATAGCTCTGATAGCTCTTATAGCACAGTAGTAGGCAAAATTTTAACCAAGGGGAGAAGTATCTATATTTCCCTCAAATTCTAGATTAATCTAATAAACATGTTCACAATAGAAAGAGACCAGAAGTGTTTGGAGTCAAGTATATTAATATAGGCAAGGTACTATAAGTACTCTTATAGCCTATAGCAGCCTACATAGCTCCTATAGCTGTAAAGGTCATAGTTATAATATAGTTCAAGGTGCTTAAAAGGGCTAATAAATCATACAGTATTAATCAATTATGTAGTCTGTATTAGTAAAATAGTAGTTTGTATCTTTGATATTTATAAAAATAAGCATAATGATTTATTCAAATACAAGTGGTGACAATGAGTAAAAAAATAACCTAAGTCCATGAAAGGTCAATATATAATACCTGTATAATACATTTTATAAGCTCTCATGGTGTAGTTATTAAGAAGAAAGCTTGAAGGAAGTGTCTAGCCACTTGCTGAGAGCAATCAGGGACTGGAAACTAGAGTTCAATGTGAGTAACTTTATTATTAAAGAGTATGACAGGTATACAGTACCTAGAGTCCAATGTGAGTAACTAGAGAATAGGAAGCATTGGACTCTGCAGTACTGGCCAAAGTTTTGTAAACAAAGGTAAACAAAGGAGCCACAGAGGCAAAATAATAGAGAACACAATCACTACTGAATGATAGAGGAATAGATAAGGAAAGGAATAAAAATATATGGGTAGCACAAAGGTGCAGAATCACCAAAACTAACAGGAGTGGATAATTGTGTGATGTGTGGCTATAGGTTGCTTAGTTACCCAAAGGCTGACTAGCAGGTTGAGAATTCAAATCCTGTCTGTGTTAATTTTTTTTATCAGCCACACAACAATTTTCAACATCTACAAGAGCATTTATAGAGTTATATGAGGCTCTATAGATGGCAGAGGTTCTATAGCAGGTTTAACCACTATAACAGCTTTAGGAGTACTTAAACTGCTATAGAGCTCTATATAACTACCCCCATTTTTCCTGATGTAAAACACCAATTAACTGGGATTCCTATAAAGTAGAAGGTTCCTTTCAAAGCATGCACATCAACACAGATTAATTTCAAAAGGAGAAAATATCCACTGGGTTGCATAATATGCTATAAAAATTGGTATGGCTGATAGTAACTATCTTTGGATGGCCCGTGGGATCACCCCTGCATGTAAATGGTAAATAATCTTGAGCCCTTCTACTACATTATTTTAGCTACTGTACATAATCTGAACAGGTGTACAATTCTAAATTCTATCTATATTTAGACAATAACATAAAAGATTCTGAGAGGGATCTATTGGTAACATGTGGAATTAACTACCTTAGGAAGCTTTAATAAAATCTTCCATGGGTGTTTTGGTACAACCTGAGCCTTGCAAACCTATTGACGTTGCTTGTAAAAACCTGCAGACGATCCACTACATTTTAAAATATTACATATTTGAATAGAGTTATGTGCCTTCACATTAATCTAATTGTATATTATCACCTGGGTTATCTATCTATAGAATAACAACAGAAAAATGTTAATCAGTAAACCTAACCAACCTAACCATGCAGTGGCTGATGTAAGAATTTAGCCAATTACCCATTAAGGTGTTGATGACTGCTATAGGCAGATGATATCATGAACATAGGTAAACACCTGTGCACTCAAACCAGAGACTGGAGCTAGTCTGATTGACAAAGGCCAGAGTTGACGGGATGATATAATGCAATCTTGTTATAGGAAATAAGCTTGTGAGAAATATACCTGCCATTTTGATGGCAGGCTAAGTACTGGGTATATACAAGTAATTATCTGCAGAGGGAGCAACTTCCCACCTGGTTGAGCCAGTGTCTGACAATAAAACATATGGTTTTCATAGATTGGAGTTCAGATTTTCCATGATTATAGCATGTGACTAAAGATATAAACAAAATTGGTGCACACTGTATGATGTGATCATGGCAAATTCTATTGCAGATGAGTCATGACTTACCTCCAGCCAATAGCATCAATCACATTCAATTGCACAGTCCCCAAAGATAGGTCTTTAGAATTGTATAGTGAGCATTTCAGCTTTGTTATTGTTTTATATCATTGCTAATGAAAGCACATACCTTTTTGCAGATTTAATCAATCTAGAAAATAAATTATACTAACTATACAAATTGGTATTAATGGCATCAAATAGATGCAAGTTGAAATTTGTCCCTTATTTTTAGGGACCTCAATTTGCTGAATACCTCAAATGCCTCAAACAAACATATGTATTTTTTTTACTTTCCCTTGTTAATTGGTACTAATATAACAGACAATAGAATAAATCCCCAGGAGTGAACATTGGTAAACATAGGCTAAAATTATATAGTAATATGTTATTTGGTATTATTATAATAGATAATAGAAGAAAATTTGAGGATTAAACATTCTTATCACTTCAGAATTTGAGTAAATATATGATATTGGCCTGTTTTTACCAATGCTTACTCCTAGAAATTTCTTGTATCATCTGTTATAATAATATCACACATCACTACTCTTAATTGATCTAAGAGCAGCAGCATATATCCAGGTGTGGACAAAAAGTAATATAAATACTGTACCACAGGAATAAAACAGTAGCAACCAGCTTGCTTCTAATATGTAACTGGAAGGTTGACTCTCAATTTTTATTTAAACCAAGCTGTTATTTTTTTAGTGTTTAAACAATCAAATTTGTAAACAAATTTACTACATAATTGTTGTTTATTTGTATAAAAAATGTGCTAGTTTAATGCTAGTTTAATATTATTGTTTTGAGTTTTAACTTTAAGTTTAGTGTCATTTGTTAGCTTGCTAATACTTAAAACCCTAGCCACAAACCAGCCTTTGTTACATTAATGGGTTAATT